AACCAACATTCCCCTTATAATGAAATATTTATGTTCAGCTATTTTGAAATAAATGGGGCTAGATTTTACAAACAGTAAAATTCCAGCACAACTATGTTCTGATCTGTCTGATCCTATAGACAGCAACATTCTATATGGTTATATGAATCTATGACCTCATAAAAGTCAATAGCACAGAAACTACACCTTTGTGCAGTGACCCGGGGAAAACAGCTCCAGCAAGGAAAAAAGCACAAGAGGTCCTGCCATTCAGTACACATGGACACACACACACACACACACACACATTCATGTATACTTTTCCCTCCAATGGTCTATATTCAAATTAGCTCTTGCAGTCCATAGCAGTTCCATGCCGCATTCCAACATTGGCTCTGCTTCAGTCATCAAGACTATTAAAATTTGTGTTTTAATAAAACAGCTTTATTACCGAAATGCTCTTCGATATCTGACCATTCCTTTTATGGACAGCCCTTATTGTAGGGCAGTCACTTTTCCACTTCTTGACTTCTACCTTTGCCATTTTTGAATGTCATCTAATCAGGGACTCCCCAGTTTCTCAATCTCTAAACACATCAACTGGAACAAAATGACTGCCACCCCCAACTGGAATAGAGCCATTGAACTGACGGGATTTATTCACATGTTGGCTGACCATTTAGTTGTTGAGTCAGGGGGTCTGCTCTTGTTTGAACACGCAGTTTGGCTTATAGACCATTGATCTGGATTTGGAGAAGATGGGAGAAGGTGAAAGTACTTCCACGAATGCCCTACTGGAGGGGGAAGAGCTCTTTTCAGTGGCACTCCATTACACCACATTGACAAGAGCAGTCTCGGAAGACAGTATCCAAGAGGGCAATGGCTGAACAGTTGTCACACAGAGACAAAAGAGCCTTTATGATTCTCTGGATCCAAACCCTTGTTCTGATTCATGTATCTCAGACTGCTTACAAACGCCTTGTTTTCCTAAATTCTTCTGGAGTTTGACAATCTTCCTTTCTGTTTGCTATTCAGATTAACTAGAGATGCCTGCAAGGGCACTCAAGTAACCATGAATACGTCAATGTTCTGCTTATGTATACACAGATGTGTTGTCGCTGTTATTGTTCTTTAAAAAAAATGCCACAACCTACCTCCAAAATTCACATTACAGACTATAAAAAAGCTTAAAGAAGGATATGCATGTGTAATGACATTTCTGAAAAACAATGAAGAGCTGAAAGCTGCAACAGAGGATTCTTCCTACAAACTTCCCATTATAGTTTATTGTATTCAAGTGTTGCCCATTACAAATGAGATGCAGGATTCAGTACTGTCTATTGTATCTATTTTCTGTTAATTAGTATCCTGGGGAGAAATTGCATTGCTACGGTAGTTATTTAATCTAACAAAGTGCTGTTAGGAAGCAAGCCTCAAGTATTTCTGGAACCACATTATAATGAAGTAACTTTAATGTTTATGGCAATACTCATTGACCCCTGCCTCCTGTAGGTGGGATTATAATGTTACTGGAGATGTTTTTTTTCATAATCATGCTGGACGTAAGCAAAGTCATTACTTCCTAGCTCAGTACCCAAGGGCTAACAATTGGTAAGGAACTAGACATGTTAATTTAAGCTTTCTAAATGCCAGTTCAGGCAGAAATCAATCAGGGAAAAAGTCACTGGTCTTTCCCATAGTTATTTGTACTCTTCCCAGAATTTCTAATATCAAACTCATTACCTACAGAAGACTATGATTTGGACTGACATGAGGCTTATCCGTTATTGGTCTAGTAAATCCCATCCTAGCACAGAGGCTGGACCTCGGTGACTTTCTTCTGATCCTTCTCAGTCTTATACTTTCATACCAGGAGTTCAGTTTTCCAACAAGATCGTCTGACACCTATCAATCCCAATTTCCCCTACAGTATTTTGTTGTTGCTGCTGCTGCAAACTAGTGCAACAGTCAAAGGACACACATACACAGATATATACATAGAAAGACAGACAGACAGACAGACAGACAGACAGACAGACAGACAGACAGGCAAAGAGAGCTAGGGTTCTGGATGCAGAGTGCATTATTCAGTAAAGTAGAGGAACTCAGGATGCATTTGTTGAAAGCAGCATTAGCTATACGAAAATTGGTGCCATCTCATGACACACTGAATACTGTGTTAAAAGCAGTTGCTGGAAAAAAAGCTCAAAATGTGTGTGTTTTGCAGAACATGACAGTAAAAGTTGCATTGCCTCCAGCAATAATAAACTTTGCAATCAAAGTTCAGCCATGGATCACCAAGCCTGGCATCTTCCTTTGTTTCTTAGAGACTTTTAATTGTCTCCTTTGTGGTTGCACTTTTCTCCCTATTTACTTTGGAGCCGGTTTCATTAAACACAGTGGGGCTCAGTGCCAAGTAAATTTGCAAAGGATTAGCTGTAAAATCACCAAGTCACTCACCCTAGGGTACTCTTTTGCATTTTGGTTAAGCTAGGACTGGAGAAAATGAGAGTAAAACAGTCCTTCTAAATTATTCACTTCTTAACTATGCAAAGAATTGATTACTAATAATGAACTGGGGTGAAAAATCTGAAGGACAATTACAAAGGGTGACGATTCAGACACTTAGATGAACAGAAAGTCTTCAAACTGAATGCAAGTTGGATGCAACTGTCTCATTTCAGCTTGAGATTTTGGGCAACATTCTGTACTAAGGACAGTTTTACTGAAAGGTTTTCATTTTCCATGATGGCTGGATATCTATATGCTCAAACTACTTTTAGGGCTTTAGAAAGCTGAGAAAACAAGTTGTAACTTGCTTTGGTTCCTGGCAGGATTCTTTGCTGAGCTTGTGGGAGTGAACTTCCACTAGTTCATTGCTTAATGAATAAGTAAAAAAACTGTACAGTGTAATAAGGAGATTGATCATTGTGCTTTATGAAGATTGAGTCCCAAATATTTAGGGAGCCATTTGTGTGTTCAATGAGAGCGTATATTGGCAGTGGGAAATTAAAGTGTCACTTGTGAAATAGTAACACTCATTAATGCAGAGTTTTCTTTTTAAATATTCGAATTAACTTTATTACTGCACCGGTAATAGCAAGCTTTCTTGGTTAAATCGTCTTCCATTTAGCATTCCTGAACATTATTAAACCATATTAACCATCATGCTGTTGATGTGAGGAAAAAGTTTCTTCCACTTAACATTCCCATTCATAAAAATCAAACCTCCAAGTGCAACCAGTAAGAGGTCTGTTATCAATTCATGATACTTATTGCATTTGCTGCTCTGTGTTTATTCAAGGTATTTTATTACTTGTGTTAGCTGTGCAGACAAAATATCCTTCCTTCAGGGGCCCCCTTTACCTTAAAGGAAGGGAATGGAAAAGGCAAGAGTGACCTCTAGCGTTCAAAAAGCTTTTAGAACTCAAGAAACAGCAAGTTCTTTTGCATGAAGGATGTCGTTTGTTTTATACATATTTGCACCATTCTTCATAGGTATAAACTGTATTCAGGAAAGAACACACCTGGGTAAGCCACATCAGAACCCACTGAAAGCCACCTCCTGAGAATCCACCTTTCAGAATCTCATAATGATCCCAACATGAGCAGGATTTTGATCCTAAACTACTTCAATGGACAGTTAAAACCTTTGTCACTTCCCCTGACATGGAAGTATTTGCACACATACAAGGCCACATCTAGTAATGCTTTATGGACACTTTGCTTTGAATTTTGCGTCTGAAACACTGCCATGGCCCCGTTTTTCATTTTGGTGGCAGCAATGGGTTTTCCTTACAAAACAAAGAATGGAACATCCATTCCTTTTTTCTTTTTTTTAGGCTGCAGTTCTAAGCATACCAACTGGGTAGAAAGTCCCACTGAGCTCAATGGGACTTACTTTTCACTCAACATGCTGCAGGTCACACTATTATCATTAACGATGACCGAGAGCTCCATGGAGGAAACAGAAATAAATATCTGATTTCCTTGATTTCCTTCCCCTGTCTTTTGCACTGACAACACATTCCCCGGAATGCCTCAATCTGATAAGGATCTGCCACAATCTAGCCCAGCCGCAAAACCAGTACGTAACAACATTCCCACAACAAATCAGGTGAGAGGGATGCATGGGTACAGGAACAGATGCTATTATATGGAGGTTTCCTGTCAAATGGAGAACAAGATGGTCCAAACCATGCAGACGATGGCTTGGAAAGAGCAAACCAGTGTGGAGGAGGTTAGAATCCACTTGTAATGCAAACAGATCTGTATCAGGGCCCTTTACAGAATGCATACCACGCCTTTCACATTATGGATTCTTTACCCTCAGCCACATGTGCTTGAAGTCTGAATGTGGTGCTCGCTTGTCAAGATCTAGTTTCCTACATTTCAGGGTACAGATCAGCCCAGCTCAAGGAAGCACACCAGACCTACACCTGAAGCAAGGAGCTGCTGTTGCACATGCCCTTTCTGAAGCATCAACACTAAGATTACAAAAGGAAGGAAGTGGGCTCCATCCCTCAAAGGTGTGGTTCATCAAAATAAAAGGGGATAGGGTGTTTGTGTGTGTGGTTAGTAACGCCAAGGCATTTGCCAGAAGCAAATCCACTCTCTCTGCCATAGAGGTGACTGAAGGCATTTCCTTCAGCTCATCAGCCGGCATGCAAGATGAAGTCTCAATGCAGGAGAATAAATATACAGCCATTTATCCAGGGACCCAGGAGAAGCCACTTCAATTAAAGGCAGCCCAGACAGCGGTGATGGATTGCACCGGGAGGGATGTCCGGGTTCCTGCAACTTCCTCGATCAGGATCCAAAGAAAGCCATCACCTTTGCTCCGGGCCCCGGGAGGCCGGTTTTGCGGGGTGGGGTGGGGACAGCGCTCCACGTAACTTTATTGGGGGGGAACCCGTACAGCTGACTCTATCACTGCCCCCCAACCACAACCCCCCCAAATCTCATCAGCAAGCCGCTGAAGAGAGACGGGGAGGGGGGCAAAAGGCCGGTTGGGTACTTACAGTTAGAAGCCGCGAATCCGAGACGCCAGAAGCTCAAGAGCAGTAGCAAAGTCGAGGCGCCGAAGTGCGGGGAGGTAGGATCCATTTTTCTCGCCTCTGGTGCTGCTCCGGAGTCCCTTAATCTCCAATTCCGCTTCGGCTTTGGCTTCCCGCCCTTGCCCGGTTTACTCCATCCAGCATCCACCCACTCTCATCGACCACGCGCGGGAGAGAAAGCTCCTGCAAAGGGCAGGTCCAAGAAAAGAAGAAGAAAAAAAGTGAGCCTCTCTCTCTCTCCCCCCCGACGCCAGAAGCGCCGCGCCAGGCACGGCCGTGCAAAATCCACCTTCAGGAGCTGCGCTTGGATTTCAGCAAGCGCCGTGCTGGAGAGCTCCTTATAGGCGCGAGGAGCCGAGCGGCGCGCGCGCGCCCTCACACCCCCCCCCTCCCGCTCTGCCGCCGCCGCCTCTTCTTCTTCTTCCTCCTCCTCTCCCACCTCCTCCCCGCCTCACCTCCCGCCTCTTTAGGGAGGCTCCTCGCTCATGACGACGAGCCAGCCCTGGCGAGCCGGGCTTCGGGAGTTAGTCGCCGGGGGAAGCGGCGGCTCGCTCGCTCGCTCGCTCCCTCTCGCCGGCGTAGAAGCAGAAGGCGAGAGGGAGCCGGGCTGGGGAGGAGGAGAGGGGAAGGGTGCGCTACCCCCCCCTCGGGAGAAGAAAGAGGGGAGGGCGAGAAAGACGAGAGGAAGGGAGGAATGCGGGCAGGCGGGCTTGCAAAGCGTTGTGAGCTCTCGGCGGAGGGAAGCGCAAAGGAGATCTCAAGACTCTCGGGGAAGCGGGAAAGGAAAGCCCCTCTTTGAATGCCCGTTGATTTGCAGTCGGTTTGTCCGATCATTTGCCTGCCGAAGCGGGAAGGAGCCTGTTAACACCTGAAAGGCTTAACAAAAGTGTGCGTGGCACGGCTTTCTTACAGGGATGAACCCAGTTCATCAGACGCACCAAGTGGGCAGGAGAGATGGCGGTGGCAAGTTCCCTTTTCTTTCCTGCGTGCTCCCGCTCATTCTTCTATATAAGCAGCACACCTTTTATATAAGCAGCACACCTTTTATATAAGCAGCACACTTTCTCTCTCTCTCTCTCTCTCTCTCTCTCTCTTTAAGTATATACGTGGAGAGAAAACATTTCCTGTTTCCCAGAGGCTCTTTAGCCCCCTCTGTGCGCGGTATCCTAGTGAAGGCGTTTCTTTTTTCAGGATGAGAGATTTAAGAATGAACGAGTTACCATCTGAATGCAGAAGTTATGAATGTGAATGTATCAACACAACTGACTCTTGGAAGTCAAGGAGGGAGTGGAAACAGTTTGTTATAATCAAACTTCAGCGAGGAGACGGTCAGTCACTGAATGCAAGTTCTTTCTGACATACATTCCTCTGCCCCCATGGTCTAGAGTGGCAATGTTATGATGTTCCTTACTTATGTCATTCTATAGATAAAGGGAAAGAGTTGGCTGTCTCCCTTGGCATGGGTGGTTCAAGATAGAAAATCTTGTTGTAGTTTTCTCCCTTATTCCACTTTTTTCCTATCCTACCACAGTGTTGCTGTCCTTCCCAGAACCTTAGTTTAATAATTCCCAAGACTTAACCTTGTCACTTTGCTGCTGCTTCAGCTCACATCAATAGCAGCCTATATCAAAGGGGGATAAAAATTGCATTAGTGATCCCAACTTTAATCCTTGAGGAGAGAATTTATTCAGAGCATTAAAGTCTTTATTGTCAGTAATTCGCTGGTCTCTGGCCGTAATAAACATACTAGAGAGTGGTCAGAAATAATTAGGGTATTTTTTTTAGATCATTTGCCCACAATTTTGTGATGGGCCCATGGAGAGCAGAACTTGAAATTGCTGGCATGCTGAAAGAAAAGGAAAAGCAGAAAAGAAAAAAAAAAGCATATGCTTTGGATGTTTCATGGGAAACTGCTTGCTTAGTGATTAGATAGTCTGGAGAATTAAAAAGCAACTGCAAATGGGATTTTGAGCTTTAAAAGGACAAATAAAAGCTAAACCTCACTTCTTTATATCATGTTCTTTAATTTTAAAAATGCTGCCACAACAATTCCTTAAGAGAAGTTTATATGAAAAAGAGGAGCAAGGGAGGGGTGATCAAAATTCTGTGATGAAGCAGGGGGATTTAGTTAACTTTTGAGGAAGTCTTTGTTACTGCTCTTAATTTCAGAAGAAAAACCTAGCTTAAGAAAACATTCCCAAAGTGGCAAAACAGAGCCTAGAATGAAGAGGAGGAAAGAAATTCATACTTTCACTGAATTTCATGATTGCCACCTTGTCAATACCATAGTCATTGCTGGTAGCAGCAGCAGCAGCAGCAGCCGCAGCAGCAGCAGCAGCAGCCGCAGCAGCAGCAGCAGCAGCCGCAGCAGCAGCAGCAGCAGCAGCAGCAGCAGCAGCAGTAGTAGTAGTAGTAGTATTTGCATTTGCATTTTGTGCCAGGAGCCACTGTGGTAAACTTATGTCAGTTTACCTTATATTAAACCTTAACTTAAATTCACCAGTGTAAGTGTAGGGCCAAATAAGTCAGGGGAAGTTTCCAAAGCTCACCTGAGAGATGTTAACAGCTTGACAATAAGGAAGGGACTAAGATGAGAAGACAGGAAGTGGGTTTTTTTATATATATATGGTAACAGGAAGGAGAGAAAACCAACAAATTAAAAGGACACTCACAGTATACTCTACCATCCAAATGCCATTATTAGGCTTTTGTGAGAGAGAAGTGCAGGAAGAAGGGATGATTCCAGAAGATTCTTCCAACAGTCCCCGTTGTCATCATGTTGTGCACCGATCCGCCACTGTGCACCTACCTACCAGTCCCATCTTTTTGCCCAGGATCTGATGACACTGCCTGGGAAGGGGCTTCATCAGTACATCAGCCACCAGTTCTTCACTGGGATTGTAGGACTCCTTGATAACTCCTTTTCTCCATATTTGGAGACTTTGTTCACCTTTATGTCAGTTTACTTGCATCAGGAGTTCCGCTTCTTGCTTTCAGAAACTCCCATGCAGCTTTGTTTGTCTCCGAACATCTCAGAGGGTTCTGGATCCATTTATGCCAAAGTTTCTTAAAAGTCTGCACAGGCAAATAGGCTCAAGGCTATTCCACCTCTACAATTTACATGGCAACCATAGTCTGCTCTTTCCTTGCCCAAGAAATAGCTCCAGCTCCATAGAAGAAGGTCAGTCCACTCATGGATCGCCTTGTGGGTCAGTGTTCAGTCCCCTTGTAGGGAGAATTGTTCCTTCTGCTCAGAATTCCAGCTAATGCAGCAGTATCTGGTCTGCTTACTTGAGCTTCACCAGTGGTCTCACTGTATGGGTTGTGTTGAGGAGAAGAACATCATCTTTCTTAGCAGAGTCAAAGCAAACAGCTCTCAGTTTAAAGTAATAATAACAACAATAATATCCAAGCTTCAGGGCTGAAATCCAAGACTCAAATGTCCAGCTGCTCCTTGCAGAACGAAAACTTTTCTTTTAAACTCAGCTCTCTCTGCCTTAAGGGGGTGTACTTTTGAATCCTTTCAAGCCAAAATATAATCAAATCAAATAAATCAACCTCCAATAATAAATTATAGAAATTGCTGTTAATAAATGGGCCCCAAAACCTACTTGGTTGTAATTTTTATTTTGAATATTAATTATCTGTGGGGTTGCTCTGTCAGGAGTTGCCTTTTTTTAGCAGAGTTAGGTTGCATGGGTGTTTTCCGTAAAGACCGAAAGCCATTTTTGTTTGCCTCTTCCTTGGAACAATAAAACTAGCCAGAGACTGAGCTTAGATAACAAAATAGCTTTAAAAAAATCTTCAGAAACGACATTTGATAGGAAACATGTACAGTACTAAAATTGAATAGGTGACCTTATGCCAGGATAGGGCACATTGTCCAGAGGAGGATTTATTTTAGACCACTTCTCAAGAAAGATGGTAGCCGCTTGATGGTAAGAAGAGGGAGGACTAAGGTGAGAAGACAAGAAAGGACATTTGGGGGCAATAGGGACATGAGAGAAACAGCCAATGAAAAACATATTAGGCCGAAACCAAACAAAAAATAAAAAGCAAAGAAGACAAAACATTGTGGCACCTTAAGGACTAATGGCTATATTTTAATGAGCTTTAATAGACAAGCCAATGAAAAGGACAGTGACAGGCTACTCTGTCATGAAACACCCCTGTTAGGCAATTGTGACAGAGAAGTGCAGAAAGAGGGGATGCTTCCAGAATATTCTTCTGGCAAGCTCTCCTCTTCAGGAAGGACTGGAGCTACTGTAAGACAATACCTCCAAGTCCCATTCCAGAGAGAAAGCCCGGAAGGATACCATGGTCAGTAGTGTTGAAAGCCACTGGGAGGTCCATCAGAATCACCAGGGACATGCTACACCTGTCCAGTTCTCAGCATTGGTCATCCATAATAATTACATCCTGGGTTCACGATGAAGTCACACAACATCCTGAGAGACTCTTCCCATCCAGCTTACACTTTTTTTGAACTGTTGCTGTCTGACAGAAGATATAGAACAATTAAGACTCGGACGGCACGTTTTCTGAATAGTTTTTATCCCAGAGCTATAATTGCACTTAATAATAAGCTTGAAGCCCACAATTAGTGAATAGTTAGTTGGACAGTGTTATTTAGCCTGTGGTGTAGATGTTTGTATTCTTAATGGGAGATTTTTAGTGGGTGGGGAGTGCTTAGGGAATTTTTATGTGTGTGCATGTGGGTCTGGTCTCTGGGTGTCTGTGTGAATTTCGTTGGATGGGTATACTATAAAAGAGACATAAATGGTTAAAAAGTTGTAAACCACCCAGAGCCATTGATTAGATGGGTGGTATATAAATAAAATAAATAAATAATAAATAAATGCTTACAATGACAATAAATTTGATTTGATTTGATTTAGTGTGATGGTATATTGAGGATAGAGAAAGAAAGAAACAGAGAGAGAAAGAGGGAGCCTGTCAATAAATGGATACACATTGCCTAAGATTTTATAGCACAATTGTGTCTTTCTTCTGACATATCATCTCAGCAATGCTACCGTAAGGCAAAACATTATCATTATCCCTGTTATCACTGTTATGCAGGTATTTGATCCGCTAACTGGATCAAGACTGGCTAGAAATACTCTCCAGAGCCATTTTTGTCCAGTATCCTCTTCCAGCTCTGATGACTGCACAGACTTCATGGAGATTGCATGGAACAAGCATACATCCTACAGTTTGACAGTATGAGAGGAGA